GAGAAGAACATACTCAAATTAATGATAAAAAAGAACATAATGATATAAACCAAATTGATAATGAAATTAAAAAAGATGAAGAAGAAGAAGAAGAAAAACATATTAAACAAGAACAAGTTATAATTAAATCAAATTCATTACAATTTAATGATACTTCTTTTAGTCAAGACATTGAAAATAAACAAAGAGAAATTACATTAACAGATGTAAATAATAATCATCATATTAAAATAGAGAAAAAAAGAGGAGAAGGAGAAAATGAAAAGAAAAAAGAACAACACCACAAAAAATTAAATATTGATTTAAGTAAACCAAAAGAAGTTAAAAAAAAGGAAATTCTACCATCTCTTTTATGTGAAAAAGAAAACAAAAAGAAAAGAATTAAAAGTACTACGGCAGATAAAGTTGGAACGTATCATAAAATAAATAGAAAAGATTCTCTCAATGAAATAACTCCAAAAATTAATCAACCAAGCAAAATATCTATTATTGAAGATTCAAAACAAAATAATTTACAACCAGATGATGTTCTTATTAAAGAAGAATTAAAAACAAATAACACTCAATTCCAAAGAAAAAAAAATAATAAAAAGAATAATAAGAAGAATAAAATTCTTATCCAAGAAGATACTAATGAACAAAACACTATTTCAATACTTTTTTTAGAACATCCATTTGTTTCTATAATATTACTTACTGTAACATTGATTCTTATAGGACTTATAATGATGTGGTGGAGTTCTGACTATGACGATGAATCATTCTAATTGAATTCTTAATGAATTAAGAAAACCCCCAAAACGTACTTCAAAATCAATTAGTTATTTAATTAAATAAACGATAAATTGATATTATATCAAATTGCAACTATTGTTTGAGAGTAATAATGTATCCAAACAATGTCATTAGAAGTAAAGAAGAAAATAATATAGTTTATCTATTACGTTTTGATAAAGAATCAGCAAATTGTTGGTAAATTGGATCATCTTCTAAAGTACCATTTAATTCATCAGAAACATCATCTGCAGGGAGTTTAGAGTTAATGCAGCGTTTAATATCAAGTTCTTTTTGTTGACCATTAGGTAAATAATAAGTGTGTTGAGTATATTTTCTACAAAACTTATCAAAAGAGTTTTGATCTATGAAATGAAATATTGCAGAACAAAAAATTGAATTTCTAATATAATAAGTTCATTATTTTGTATTTTGTTTTAATAAATTCTAAACAAACTCAGGTGCAATAAAATTATAATAATCAATAGAATTTGAAAATTCTTCATAAAGTTTATCTGCAATTATTCTTCCATTAGAAGTAGGTATATTTTGGACGATAAGTTTCAAAGACTGTTGAACAGCCATGAATAACAATTATTAGTTCATCGCATTAAAAGAACCTAAACAAAAACTATAAAAAACCTATGAAATAATTAAAATTGAAGTAATTTGAAAAAGAAATTAAATAAAAATTAATTTAATATGAAAATAAAAAAGTAATGAACAAAACCATAACAACAACCAAATTGATCAAAACATTGATTTATTTAGAAAAGAATACATTTTCCTTTCTTCTTTTCTTTCTTTGATTTTTTATTATCTTCACTATTACTTTGAGATTCTTGTTGTGTTTGAGATGGAGCAGTTGTTGAAGGTGTAGCAGCAGTTTCTTCTTGTGAACTTTTAAGGAGTTCACTAGCGATAGAATTAAAAAGTTCAGTTACGTTAATATTATTTTGAGCTGAAGTTTCAAAGAATGGAATTTTCCATTCTTCAGCCAATTTCTTTGCTTCTTCATTTGGAATTTGTCTTTGTTCTTCTAAATCGCATTTATTTCCTGCCATAACCATAATTGTTTTACGACCAGTTCTTAAACCAAGAATACTATCACGATGATTCTTAAGAGCATGGAAACTATTTTTATTATCAATACTATAAACTAAGACAAATCCATCTCCTTTAATATAATATTGTTCTCTTAATGAAATATATTCTTCTTGACCAGCTGTATCAATAATTGACATTTTTACTGTTTGGTCTCCAACTTTAACATCAATTGAATAAGAGTCTTCGATTGTTGGATTATATTCAATATTAAATTCTCCTTTAACAAACAATAAACAAAGTGCTGATTTACCAACACTTCCTTCTCCAATAACAACAACTTGATAAGTTTTTTCAGTCATTTCTCTTTTGATTCTTTTTATTAAGTTCTTTTAGTTTTATTTTTTTTTTTAAACCCTTCACTTTTTTTCAGTTTTTTCTCTTCTTCGTTCTTCTTTTGTTCTTTTGATAAAAAAAGAATTTCTTTATATTCTATTTTTAATTGTCTCTTTTTATTTTATTTGTTAATTTTTTTAGTTTTTTTTCTATTTATTATAGTTTTTTTTTTATGGTTGTATTTTTACTTTTTTCTTATTATTATATTTTTAGAATTCTTTTAAAAAATGAATAACCCATTATTATTATTTATTTGAGTGTCATCGAATTACTTTATTTCTCAAAACAATAAAATCTATCATTTATAAACAAAAAAAAAAACATTATTAATTTAATTTTTATAAATTAATAGTTAATAGAAAATAAAAATGCTTTATTCATTTTATTCTTCTTCAAGTTCTTCTTCTATAGAAAGAACAATTTTATCAAATGATTCTTTAATTGGTTTTACAAATTGAACTAAATCACTCATCATTTGTAAAGTAATACCTTCTACTTTTAACAAAAATTGAATTCTTTTTGTTAATAATTCAGCATGTAATTGAAATTGCTTTTGTTGAAATTCAATTAATTCTTTTTTTTCTTTTTTATTATAACTATAAACAAAAAGATTTCTTAGTATTGTATGTGCATCAATTTCTACTAATGAAGCTTCATATAATGGTGCTAATGTAGATGCAATATTTTTTCTATTATTAATAATATTAATGATAGTTTTATTTCTATTTACTGCTTCTTTTACTCCAACGTTTTGAAGATCATAATGAGTGATATAACTTAATGTCTCTTCATTAATATATTCACTTTTATCTTTAGTTGGGACATATGCTGTACATATTTGTCCTGGTTTATGTTGATGGTCATTAGTAATTTGCATACAAACCCAACAAAAAAAACAATGACATTTATAACATGACATCCATTGACATCCTCCATTCTTTTCAATAAATGTTTTACATGATGGACATGGTCTAGAGTTTTTTCGAATCCATTTTAGATTTAATCCATCTTTTTGTATTAATTCTTGCCATTTTTTCCACATTGTACATGTAGCTGGTCTGTGGTTAATAGATCCACAAAGAAGACACATATTATTTTGACATGAACAAATAGCAGTTACAGCTCCACCAAAATATTCTCCTTTATAGTGTAATAATTTTCCACATTTTTCATTTGAACAATATTTACAAATTATTTCTTTATCTCTTTCTATAAAACTGCTAATAAGTAATTCACAATATTTATAGAAAGTATAATCATCAACTAATACTCTTACAATATCTATTGAAATACAACATTTACATCCAGAACTTAAACATTTTAAATTTCCTATTCCTTTACCATTTTCTTTCATACTAGTTAATATATATTCAAAAATACATTCTTTACAAAATGAATGTCCACATCTATTAATAATCATTTCTTCTGGTAATTTATCTTCATAACAAACTTCACATGTCTCTATTTTTTCTTCTTCTTCAATTTTCTTTTCTCTTTCTGTTTGAAGTTTTTTCCATGTTTTTTCTAATTCATTAAACCATACTTTTAAATCATTAGGTAATTGTATTGGATTGTTTATTGTTTCAATTATATCATTTTCACTTAAAACTCTTAAAGCCAAATCATAATAGAAATTTGGAGAAATACTTAATATTGGTACTTTCATAAGAGTAGTTTTTGGTGGAAGAATTTTACCTCTAAACATTGATAAATCATTTCTTAAATGTTCCTTAACTCCAATTAAATTTTTGTTAAGATATTCAAGTGCATTACTAATAATTCCATTATTTAATTTTAAAGCTCCAATAGAAATAACTCTATTAAAGTTTCTTCCCATTAAATTTAAAATACTTTCTTCTTCAAATGAATAACCACAATAATGAACAAATTTAAGAGATAAATAATCATTTGGAAAACATTGTCCTTTAGGAGCAAACCATTCTTTTGTTTTTTGTAAATATCCGTTTTTCTTTAAAAAATTATCATCATCAAAAAATTTTTCTTGGAGTCTTATTTTATTAAGTCCAAAGTCATACATTAATGATAAAACAATTGGTTCACCAACATCAAATAATTGTGCATTATCTTGAATCTCAGATAATATAATTTTTAAAGATTGTGTCTTTTCAAGACATTCTATTTGACTTAATATTTTCTTACGATATGAAGAGATAGGTAATTTTGATATAATTTGTTTTGTTTCTTCATTCATAGTAACAATCATTTTTGTTTAAATAAAACTTCTTATTTTTGAGTTTTAAATTACTTTAATTTTTTTTTAAAAATTATTATGACGTTTAATATTTATTGAGGATTAACTTTTTTTTTTTTATAAATTTTTATTCTTTTCTTTGTTAAGATTCAAAATATTCTATTATATTATTATAGTTCTTTTTTAGTAAAATATAGTATAAATGAAATACATACGAATGAATTTATTTTAATTGAGAAAAAAGCATTCGCAAATGCTCTCTTCTTGTTTTGGTTGCATTTCCTTTAAATGCGGTAGAAAACATTGCAGTTCTTTCACCATTGACTGCTTTTGTTAAAATGAATTCCCTAGTAGATAAGTCATGAAGAAAATGATTTGTTTTCATAAAAGGAGGGAATGGATTAACAGAGTCTTTACATCCAACAGTAATAGAATAACCATTATTATCTTCAGTATTAACATCTGGTTGTACAACAATAAATATATGATTAAATTGTGAAGTTAACCATTTAGGATCAAATTGATCTTTCCAGTCATTACTTTGTTCTTTGAATATAATAACAACAACATCATTTCCAATATGTCTTTTCTTTTCTACTCTTTGAAGATCTCCAGGTTGTTCTGGTAATAAAGTAGATACATGAAACATAATTTCATAACATAAATGTTGTGTAAAATAACTATAAATTCCTGTTGAACCACTTTTAACATCTAATCCTCCTCGATATTTATCAAATCCTTGTAATTCAATTTTTGTTCCAAGTAAATCTAAGAATTTATAAAAAGCAGGACAACCATCAGTATTTCCAAACATTTCATCTTCATCTGTTTGATGTGCTTTACAATATAATACTCCGAACTTATAATGTGTGATTGCTGACATTCGTTCAAATCTAACAATTTCATTTTCAAATTTCATTTTATCAGTAACTTTATAAAATTCTCCTCGTGTTAAATCTGGAAATGCTGGTTGAAATTCTTTTATTCTAATCAATTCATTTGGTAATAAACATCGTATATTACCTTTCTTACTCATTACAATTGCTCTTCTAAATCCTCCATTATTTCCTGGTATAATACTCATTGCTGTAGGTTCTTCAGTTAATATATAATGTTCAGCAGAAGGATTTCCACTAATATATCGTTCAAAGAATTGAAAATCAGATGTAATATCAACTATACGATATTCTTTAAGGTCTGTATTTTGTGTACATGCTTCTTTTCCTATTTCAATACAATAACCATCTTCAATTGTTTTAGCAAAAATAAGACTTTGTTGTTCCCATCCATTTGAATATTTCATTTCCCATTTTTCTATTGGTACAACTGGACTACTCCATTCATCAAATAATAATTGCATTGTATTCATCTCATCAATCAATTTAAAATATTCTTCAGGTGATGTAATATCTCTTTTATTTAACATTGTAATTGGTGGTGATAATGGAATTATTGCTTTTTCAGTTTTACCATCAAACCTAATCAATGGATTAGTTTGATTTTCTACTGTTACATTAATAATTTTATTAAATCCAGTTGGTTCACTAATAATAAAGTCATCTTCTTTGTTTTTATCTTTCTTTTTAAATATTGAAAATTTCTTTTTCTTTTCTTTTGCAGGAGTTTCATCTTTACAATGAGTTGTTTCTTTTATTGAACCGAATGAATCTAAATGTTGTGTAGTATCATTATTCTTATCTTGTTTAGTTTTACTTGTAGTTGTTGATGATAAATCAACATTTTGTTGATGGATATTAGGACTATGTGATCCATGTTTTGATTGTGATGTTCTTGTTGTTTCAAAAAGTTGTTTAGATAAATTTTCAGAAGGTCTAGTATTTGACCAACCAGAAGAACGAGAGTGATTAGTATTTGATGGTTTTGGAGGAGGAGGTGGTGGTACATTTAATGAAGATGAAATTGTAGTAGAAGATGGTTGTGAACAATCTGAACTTTTTGAAGAAGAAAGTACATTAGTTTTTGGGGGAGGTGGTTTGGCTTTAGGTTTTTGAGGAACAGGAGGAGCAGTTGTAGGACGAGGATTATCAACTGGTTGTTGTTGAGAAATGTGAGTAGAAGAAATTTTTGAACGAGGAGACCGAGGAGAATCTGGTTTAGGTGGTAAATGATATGGTTTAGGTGGAAGAGGTGCAGGATTAATTGGCCGTGAAGATAGAGTAGATGAACGGGGAGGTGGTAAATCAGGTGGATTGATGGCACTTTCCATGATACAAAATTATCACTTTTCAGATGAACTTCAAAATATCGTTTTTTTCCTTTTTAAAACTTTTTTTTCATTTTTTACCCGTTAGTTCTATTAGGATGATAATTGTTGGAATGAAGTATAGTTTATTATAGTTTTATTATAATATTTAAAATAATAAGAGAAGTAAAGTAACTGAATAAAAGAGATTTTGTTTTGTTATAGAAACATTGCAATAAGAATGAATTTCAAGATATTTAAGTCTCCAAACAGTTAGTATAAGAATAGAGGAATAAATGTCTTAATAATAAAGGCAAAATAAACCAAAAAAAAAAAGAAAACAATAAAAAAGAAAATAAGACTATTTAAGGAATATAATAAAATGAAGAATAAAAACTAAATTGTAGTGATATATTTAGCTTTTTAGCATCAAACAAAAAGAATCAAAAATTATAGTATTTGGTTTAACATTAAAAAACCAAAAATAATATAGTATCTCTAATGCTAATTAATAACAATGAAGTTAAGAATAACAATTATTTTTTTAATAATTTTATTATGCATATTGTTATTATAGATATATCTTGTATTAATTTATTTTATTAATTAACTTATTAAATTGAATAATAATATTTTCTTTTTTTTTTTTTATTATTATTTGTTAAAAAAGAAAAGATTCAAGAAGATTAAATAATTATAATTTATAGTATAAAACTAAATTAAAAAACGTATTAAAAAATTTCAATTAAAAAAGAAATATAAAAAACATTTATTAAATTTGAATATTTAAAAAAATGTGTGATTAAGGTTCAATAATTTTGTTATTAACAATTTGTAATTTTTGAGAAGCAGTTCTTATTTTCTGACTTGACACTACTTCACTTACAATGTTTTCTATTTTTTCTGATAATTCAGGAGTAATATCATCAACCTTTCTTGTTCTTCTTTTTTGTTGTCCATTATTTAAATGAAGTAATTCATATTCTTTTAATGTAACATAAAAATGATTGTTAATTTCTATTGTCCAACATGCCTTTTTAAATAATTCTTTAGCTGCGTTAACTGTAATTTGATACTTCTTTAATAAATAAAATGTTAATAAACTTGCTGATCTACTTTTACCATATTTACAATGAAATAATACACTTTTTCCTTTATTTCTTATTTTTTCAACAAATGAATATGTTTGATCAAAATAAGAATCAATTGGAATTATTCCATCGTCGTCAATAGGTATTCTTAAATATTCTTTATTTGTTATTCCTTGATAATCTTCTGGTTTAAAATTCTCATTTAATTGGGAATTATAATAACATGTAATATTTTTTGTACAATTTACAATACCTTCTACTTCCATTTCTTGTAACCAATTTAAGTTCATTGCAGTGAGTTGAGTTCCAATAAACACTCCAGGACATACCTCCACTCCTTTTCCATCTTTTCTTATTTTAAATTCTTTTTCTTGTCGTTCAAGTTCTTGTCTTGCAGCTTCATTTTCTTCTTCTTCTATTTTCTTTTGTAATAATTTCTGTTTTTCTTTTATTGCTTTTTTTCGAGCTTTCTCTTCTTCTTTTATTTTTTTCTTTTCTTCAATTAATTGTTTTCGTAGTCGTTCATTTCTTAATAATGCTGATTCACCATTTCTAGGTTTGACTGTAAAGAACAGATCCAATCCCTTCATTTTTTTAACCCTTTTAGTTTTATTTGATTGTTCCTTTATTGGTTTACTTTCAATTCTCTTTTCTTGACTAGAACTTTGGTTAAACAATGAGCTAACTTTGAAGAAACGATCAATAGTCGATTGTTTACTCATAAGAAAGCTCTCAACACATTCATAGTTCAACTATTTTTTCTTTTCAATTTTTTATTCCTCAAAAAATAAAAAATAAATTTGTATTATTCAAAAAGTAAAATTTACTTGTTTCTATTTTTCTTAGAATAAACTAAGAAGAAGAATTGCTACAAAAAATGTAGAAAGGAGTGAAAAAGCTCCATTTTCATAAGTATCAGTTTGATCATCACCAGTGTCAAGACGAATATCTTTGAATAATAGTTGGGTTGTTTTATCATTTCTACTTGCTCCTCTAGTAAAAATGATAGTAGCAACTTTATTATTTAAATTAAAATTATCTAATTTAATAGAAATATCTCTATCATTGTTATGTTTAACTTTAACAGTATATCCATTAATAGCACTAATATCACCATAATTAAATAATGTATTAAAGTCTTCATTAAATATCTTTATATTTAATGGAATATCATCAAGATCATCAAGGTCATAACGAGTAGTAAATTTTAAAGTTTTATAATAATCATTTTTTCCAGAAACTTGGGTAGAGAGAGTATTATTTGAAGTAACAGCAAAATATTGTCCATCCAACATATTAACACCAATCCAACCATTTCCATTTTTTTGTACACAAGAAATACCACTTAACAATGAGTAAAATAAAATAGTTTAATTAAAAAAATAAAAGAAACAAACATTTGATTTGGATTGACTATTCCAAAACCTTGTTCTAATGCCCCATCTTTATAGAAATAGACATTATCAGCTAAAGAATATATAATAAGAGTAAGTAATAAGATAATTTGCATTTGTATGATTGAATGAATTATTTTGTTAAAATTTTGCCTTAAATATAATTAACCTTTCGCAAACAACATTACAACCTAATCTCATTTTGAAGAAGATTCAATCTTACTGATTAATATTAGATTTATGAGAGAAGATTAGTCATCATTTAGCTTAATTAGAACTTTCGTTTTGGAAAATGCAAACGAATAAAATCACAGAAAAAAATAA